AATATTCTTTTTCCAAAGTTTGCATGCCTGTAACTCTAAAAGTATTCAAGGTAATGTAATATCCTTCTAGATTCTAATTCTTAATAAACTTTCCTTTTGAAATCTTAATTTTCAAGGCCCCATATAGTTCATTCCTATAGATATGGGTATTTCAAAGATATGGAGACCTTAATGCGGCTCCATGAGTAAATTGGTAAATTGTTCACATTTTCAGTGGTCAAAAACCAAATGTGGGTCATTTTTACATACAGCTGATACTTTTTTCTTTTAAAGGTGCCATAGAATGGAAAACTGTATTTACCTTGGCATAGTTGAATAATAACAGTTCTGTACATGGAAATTACATACCGTGAGCCTCAAACACCATTGTTTCCTCCTTATGTAAATCTTGTGCATGCAAAAGACCACTGAAAAATAGTCGAATCAGAACATAACACCGACTGTGATGTTACAGTCAGGATCACTAATAGTTACGCCCCCAATATTTGCATATACCCACCCATGTTCTATGCCAGCCACCAGCCGAACCTGCACAGTCGAATCATCAGAAGTTCTGCAGGTATTGTGAAGAAACAAGGATAATAGCGAAAATGGCAGATCATGGAAATAAATGTTATGTTCCAGGCTGTGCAGGGGATGTGATGTGCAGGGATGGGTTAGTGTCTGTATTCAGAAAGGCACAGAAAACAAATAACGCGCGTTCTAATAAAATAACGCGAGCCACTAAAGGGACATGGTTAGCTGCTTGCTAGCGGTAGCCTGTTACATTACAGTATATAAGATTTCACTTACCACCAGGGGCGTCTCTAGAGCATTTTAAATGGGGGTCCCAGGCTGGGGCACTGCCTCAAAATAGGGTGGCCGGGGGACTTCAAGGCTTTACTCAAGTTAAAACACTTTCATCATCCTCATGAATGTATGGTGGTTTACCTAAAGGCTGCGACACACACCAGTTTTTGTTCTGTGCTGATCACAATCGAACCCTTTCATTATCACATACAGAGTGTATACAGTGCCGTGAAAAGGTTTTTGCCCCCTTACTGTTTTTTTAATTTTTTGCATATTTGTCACACTTAAAAGATTCAGATCATCAAACCAATTTTAATATTATGCAAAGATAATGCAAGTAAATACAAAATGCAGTTTTTAAATGATAATTTCATTTATTAAGGGAAAAAAGCTGTCCAAACCTGCCTGGC